CACATAACCAAAATGCCTCCTGCGCTGCTCGAGATAAGAGGCCACCCCAGCGAGGCTCATCCTGTGGTGCTGAAAACGCCGGCTGCTCCAAGAACTGAGGTCGAGGGCAACCGGCCAACCTGCGGCATGGCCGCAAGGGCTACTGCTCTCAAAGTTCAGCTTAAGCCAAACAATCTTGATCCAAAACATCAGCAAGACAAGAAACCACAGGGAGAGCCTGGCATCCAGTTCTAAGTGACCTGCAAGGGTTGACCTCTGCTCGGGCAGAAGCGCCTCCACACCTCACAGACAAGTCTGAGAGCTCCGCAGACCTCTCCCTCCAAGCCAGAAACCCACTCACCCAGAAGCAGCTCCAGCCACTCAGGAACACTCGACATGCGTCCGAGACACATCATCATTCGGTTCTAGGCTTATTTTAATTTCTACCTTTGATTTCTTCTTTGGACCATGGATTATTCAGAAGCGGGTTTTAATCTTCAAGTGTATTTCTGTTTTTCAGTTGTTTGTTCTTGATTCCTAACTGCATTGCACCATGTAGGTATTTAATTGCATCAGCCAGAAATTTGGTGACTTAGGCCAAGCACGGTGACTCATCCCTGTAATTCCAGCACTTTGGGAGGCTGAGACAGGCAGATCACCTGAGGTCAGGAGTCTGAGACCAGCCTGGCCAACATGGTGAAACCTCATCTCTACTAAAGCTAAAAAAAATTAGCCAGGAGGTAGTGGCATGCACCTGTAATCCCAAGCTTCATGGGAGGCTGAGGCACAAGAATCACTTGAACCCAGGAAGTGGAGGTTGCAGTGAGCCAAAATCATGCCACTGTACTCCAGCCTGGGCAAAAGAGTGAGACTGTCTCAATAGAAAAAAAAGGAAACTGCTGACTTGTCTCCTTCGTTGTTAACTTTTGATAAAGTTTTCTAAGTGTTTCATGTGAGCCTGGGAAAACAGCATTCTCCCGCTGCAGGGTATAGTGTCCTACACATGTCTATTAAATCATGCTTTTGCACTGTGCTGTTCCAATCTTCCAAAAAAGCTTTACTCTTTGTCTACTTGACCCAGCAATCACTAAGTGAGGGGCATTTGTCACTGTTTCCTGTGTGTGTGGTTTTGTCAATTTCTGCTTTACATATGGAGGCTTTTTACTAGGTTGACAGAAGTTTAGGATTCTTGTATGTTTCTAGGAAATTTGCCCTTTTAAAATTAAAATGACCCTCTTTATCCCTAATATTTTTCTTTAATATCCTATTTTACCTTTTATTAATATAACTACTGTAGCTTTCTTTCAGATTATTTTCCAGCATCTTTTCTTATCCTTTCACCTTGGTCTTTTCTGTATCCTTGTTTTAGGCATGTTCCCTGGATACAGAGTTGTTTTTGAAATCCAATTTGACAACTTGTTTTTTTAACTGACAAGTTTAGTCAAGCTATGCTTATCATGATTATAGACATAGTTAGATTTATTTCTACCACATTAGGCTGGAATTCTACTCGTCTTATTTTTGTTTTCCTTTTCTCCTGTCTTCTTTGGGGGCTTAAGTATTTTTATTTCTCTTTTTCTTTACTACTGTTTTGGAAGTTACATACTATATTTCTATTATTTTAGTGGTTATTCTCGAAATACTGGCATGCATACTAAGACAAAGAGTCTAATAGTATGTCTTCCAAACAATTAGGAACTCTTTTTCCTTCTTCCTTCCTTTCTTTTAAGACAATGGTTTTACTTTCATATGATGCTACTGCTGTGAGAAATGTCAAAAGCCGGGAACTCTGCCACCCCACTCAGCTTGGACACCACCTGTCCAGTACAGTGAGTCCTCACAAGGTGGCGGACAGGTTCCCTCAAACTGCAGCCTTCCGTGAACCAACTACAGGAGGTCTTTGAATAACATCATTTCCTTCAAAACAGTCTCATTATTAATGTTGATGAGAAAAAAAATCGGTTTCATTACACATCATTTCACAAACGTTGCAGTTTCCAAGAACCTATTGATGATGTTGAAGTGAGGACTTAAAGTATTTTAACCTTTCTTAAATTATTTTCTAATACAACAAGTTAGCTTCCCCCACAGTTTTTACAGAATTTCCTTTGTATCTGCTCTCCTGGTATGTCGTAAGTGGGTGGGTCTTGTCATCGGTAACTATGCCAGGCACACAGTACGCCCCTTCCATCTGTAGATGTCTTTTAACTGTGTACGTTTTTTGATTATTGCTTTAACCAAATATTGTGAAATAACCATTTTTGGAAAATATGAGGAAGGTGTAAGCGAGCCCAATCTTCATCTACTATTGCAGGAAGTCAACAGGTGAAATAAAGGATGTTAATTAAAGACTGAGGTAAATTCCAAAAGAAATATCTAAAAGAACTAAAAACGATTATCTATTAAGGTAATCGTTGCTACCTGTTTGTTATAGTTACATGATTTTTTTGTTGTTTTTGAGACCGAGTCTCGCTCTGTCATCCAGGTGGAGTGCAGTGGTGCCATCTTGGCTCACTACAACCTCCACCTCCTGGGTTCAAGTGATTCTCCTGCCTCAGCCTGCCAAGTAGCTGGGATTACAGGCATGTGCCACCACACCTGGCTAATTTTTGTATTTTTAGTAGAGACAGGGTTTTACCATGTTGCCCAGGCTGGTCTAGAACTTCTGACCCCAAGTAATCAGCCTGTCTTGGCCTCCCAAAATGTTGGGATTACAGGCGTGAGCCACCGCATCTGGCCATATTTACATGATTTTAAAATGTACAACACTGATAATATCTGGGGACAAAATAATCTCAGGCACCGTTCCACGTCACCCCCAGGGGTGACATCCCTCATAATCCACCAACTGAGTTTTTGCTGTTGGTTTCAACTTCTGTTTCCTTCTTTAAAAGTCCTTATTACTTGTCAATGTGTTAATGGATTTAAACAACTCCCATTCCTGATGACATCATGAAACCGAGGTTTCCTGGGGAATTTTCCTCTCTGGTTTTAGAGTAAAACACCAAAGCCTTATAAATGGTGCCTTTCCCACTCACAGAAGTACAACTCTAAACATCAACACTGACAGGACCCCAGGCCTGGGCTGGTCTCCCTCAGACCCACACGCAAGACCAGCAGCCGTGTCCGGGGGCAGGATTCATCTCATGGCAGTTCTAGACTCTCAGTGACAGACAATGCAGGGAAAGTTCGCTTCTAGGTTTTATCTTTTTAAAAAATTCACATTTTGCTTGTTAAAGGAAGAACTTCCAGTTTTAATCCTTTCATTTTGTAATGATCTCACTGAACACCATAAACATTCAAAAGCTGAAAATACCACAAGTGAAATTTTAACCAAAGCCTCCTTCCCTGACTGTGCAGCTAAGAGTCCCTAGGTACGCAGCCCCTGAACAGCGTAGGAAAAAGCTGTTTTTGGCTGAGCTGATGTCCACAGGTAAGGGTTGGTGGGGGAATCGGGGGTGCTGATTTAAGATGTAAAAATGTGTGATCTTCATTCCCCCATGACCCCTACCACTGTCGTCTGCTGACTGTACGGTCCCTTTTTCAGGACATGAAGGAAACCATTAGATAGCAAGAATTCATGTTCCCCTGATCTTAAAGTCTCAAGACAGAATGAAAAGCTTATGTAAAATGGTGGGCCAAGCCAGGCACAGTGGCTCACGCTTGTAATGCTAGCACCTTGGGAGGCCGAGGCAGGCAGATTATCTGAGGTCAGGAGTTCAAGACCAGCCTGGCCAACATGGTGAAACCCCATCTCTACTAAAAATACAAAAATTAGCAGGGCATGGTGGCACACGCCTGTAATCCCAGCTACTCCGGAGGCTGAGACAGGAGAATCACTTGAACCCGGGAGGCGGAGGTTGCAGTGAGTCAAGATGGCACCACAGCACTCCAGCCTGGGTGACAGACCAAGACTGTCCCAAAAAAAATAAAAAACAAAAACAAATAAAATGGTGGGCCAGGTGACAAAGGAAAATCAATCTAAGAAAAAAGCAGCTGACAACATGTTATTCATGGCAAAGTATGAAACAGCTGTGGGACACAAGACAGCCAATGGGGGTGCCACCTTCCTTCAGGGCAGAAACTGCTGCCTCTGTTCCCACGCTGGTTCTCAAAATCTGCAGAGTAAGCTTTTCATTCATTCAAACATACAAATACTGCACTCACATCAAAGTGAAACTTTACTATACAATCATTTGTATTAGGACCAAAGAAAAGATGTCCCGGGATTACAAAGAGGAGGCACGGCCAGTACCGGCTCCCCAGGAGCTAAGGAAAGGGAAGCAGCAACGGGAAAGGGGTGGAGGGGCAGAGCTGGGACACTCTGGTTGGACCCTACTTGGGGCACGGTACTCACGAAGAAAGTGCCTGCACTGCTCCTGAGGGTGACGCAGGCGCGGACCAAAAATGAGTGGCAGGACGCTGACAGCGCTGGAGCACGGCACTGGCCGTGGGGGGCTACCTCTATCAGTGTCTCTATTTTTTGTGAATGTTCTGAATATTTACCAATAAAACATTGGGGAAAACAACATGCATACACTTATTCTCAAGATAAGGTTCAAGAGAGGATGTGGGGTCCAAGTGCTAAGCATCCAGATGTCACACTTACCCCAGAGGACACACGGCCGAGGTGTACCAAGAGAAGAGGTACTGGCAGTCGGCAGTCTCGTGACTGAACTCGGGGATCCCATCCTCCACCAGAGGGTCACAGTGAAAGAAGATAGTGGAAGAAACAGACTTGGTCTTATCCTTTCCACACTTAGAGGAAGAGGCAAACACGACATCGAGATCGCCATCTGTCAAAAATGAAGGGGCACACACGGAGTGTCACTATCAGTTTTCACAAGCAGACTGAGCTTAGCTCCTTATGGTCTAAAAGAGTTTGCAAAGACTTATAATCACACAGAAGAGACTTCATCCCATGTCCCATGTGCGCTCTGTTCACAGCTTACAAAGCCACTCAGTACCCCTTGACAGAGCCCTGCCCTCAGCACCCAGTAAAGAATTTTTGTTTTGTTATTACCACAGGTATTTACTGATGGACTGAAGATACAATTTTAATGGAACAGTAAGGCACAACTGTGGATTAAATCAGTCTGCTATACAGCCAAAAGAGGGGAAAAGCTATAATCTTAGGAACTTTAAATATGAAAATCAACGAGCCTCTGAAGTATCTTTCTAACAGATCAGTATAAGATATCTTTCCCTTTTATACAATTCCTATACTACATCACTCGATCACAAAGTCCAACTGATACTTCACAAAGAATTCCTCGTTCATTTCTATTTGAGCCATCCAGCCTGGCTACTTCCCTGTTCTCCACCTTTTTCCATTGCTTTGCAGTGGTATTTTTTAGCAATCCCCTTCCTAAAGAATTATGTACACAGCTTCAATAGTTTCCAAAGCAAGGAAACAAGCAAGCAAGCAATGAGTCAAGAAAGCCAAGGGCAGATATGTGAATGAACAGACTCACAGAGACATACATTAGGATGGCAACAGCCCGATTCATGGAAGTCTAAACTAAGCTGACTTTGGCAGGAAAGTTGCTGTGGTTTGCTCAAACACTTGTAATGCCACTGAGGTTGTGCTACTAGTGCCAGAACTCGTTTCTAAGGGATTAGCAGTGGTCTACACAAGGAGCTGGGGAACTAACGTAACTAGGGAGCTAATGACAAAACCATCATGCATTAGGAGCTGACTATCGCTTCCAGCATTAACATCTGCCAAGTGTAAAATTCATAAAGAATTTTGTGCAAAACTTCAAGACACAGAGAACAATCTTTAAATATGTTGGACTGGGATAAGTTAGGCACTTCCGTAACACTAACCTTTCTAACTTGGAAACGTAAAGTGAAAAGCATTCCAGTGTACATAACACTGAGGCATAAACCATGCTGCAGAGGTGCGAAAGCAGGAGGGTGTACAGGGTGCCTAGCCTCCTTGTTCAAACAGCCATGAGAAAGTCCCCAAGCATATTGTTAGACCAGCCGTTCTGGTGGTAACGGTGTCCCAAAACTAAGTAAACCTGCAGGCATATTGCTACTTTTTGAAGAGCCAACACTGCACCAACAAGAGGAGCCACATAGGTACAGAGTTGAGAATTAGAGACCAGAGGTAGAGTGACGTGGGCAAGCAACCTAGAAGACTTGACTCGATACCTCTCACCAAGGCCACCTTCCAAGAATATCTCCACCCAGCAGCCCTTTGATGACAAGGCAGAGAGTAGAGGATGATCTCGTGCTCCTGGGAGAAGTGTTGGTTACCAAAAAGCTCCTGGAGAGGCAACATCCCAGAGGCCCACTGAATAATGAAGGTAGATAAAAACTACCACACCACCAAACTATCCTGCCAAGTCAGAAATACATATACCAGGCATAGCCTGGGGTGCCAAGTAGAACAGAGGAGACTTTGAGCCTTACGAAAAGCAGAAAGACTGCATGACTCGGTGAACAGTATGCTGAATGACACAGAAGTAGGAAGCAAAGGACATATAAAAAGGATGCATGCTGGCGAACTCGCCAGAGGGAAGGCAGCACGGGTGCAGTCTGCATCCAGTGAAAGAGCTTTACTGGCTTGTTCCTCAGCATGATTCCCCATCTTACTTTCTCAGACTTGATGGATGTGTGGCATTCAGCAGCAGAACACAGAAAGATGGTATTTGTAAATGAAGAACTGGTGAATGGATATGGAACAGAAATCGACTGGGTGTACCATTCTGTAATTCCGTTTCTAGACCAAAGGCAGGTTTGTGTTGACAGAACATACTTGGGGTTGTCAAGAACAGCAGTAGCACTTTGGGAGAAAGGGAATGAAGGAGTGGGGCTGGGACTGGTGGACAGGAGGACTGTCAAGTTCCAGTTCTTAAATACTAGGCCACAAGGAACAGTGTGCTGTCCGTCCTTTAGTGAAGAAATGGAACGCTCATTTTCTGCTCCACATCAACCTTCTCCAAAACCTTAGCAAAGTCTGTGATAAAGATACATCACTGTCCCCATGCTGATCGGCCTCCCGAATGGTCCTGTCTGCGATGCTGCTCAGCTGTTCATCTGAGATATTTACTCGGACCATCATGCATGGCACCTGTAACAGCTCATCACGCGAGATCTTGTCATCTTTATCCAACTCATATAGTCCAGAAGCAAAGTGCTGTTTGTTGGCTATTGAGTGGTTCAGGTCCATTCATGTCTTTGCCCTCTTCATTATCCTCAATGGTTCAGATATAAGCCAAAGTTCACAGGAACCCACGGAGTTTACCTGGTCCTCTCCCTCTGGCAAGAAGGCACTGATGACTCAGTCCCCTACTGGGTTGATAACAAGTTCTGGAATCCTCTGAAATCACCCCGTTCTCTCCTTTGTCCAGACTGGTGAACAGCTGTAGAGGGGTAGTCTGACAGTGGGAAAGGCCAGTCTCCTTCTTGATCCCCTCGAGCTCTTCATTTCTCAATAATGTGGAGGCCTGAGATCCCCTCACTGCGCCAGGGCTCCTCCAGGAGCAGCGGCACCAGAAGAGACGGTGACAGGAAGGAAGGCAAGCATTTAACTTTGCCCAAAAAGAGGGCTTGTCCTCAGCTAACGACAGGATATGGAGCAGGGGCTGGCCATGCAGTACCTGAGCAATCAGCCAACCAGTTCTGCCCAGGTCATGGAGCCCCGGGAAAAAAACTGGACGCCAAGGCTCAGGGGAGCACCGGCGGGCAATACTCTATGTACACTGCCACATGTGGGTGCTGGGAACATAACATATCTGATTCCACAGGAGAGTCTGGCAGGAGCTCTGCATTCGATTCCCTCCTGGACTCCACCCTGTGTGCATCTTGGCTGATTTTAACCTATATCCTTTTGTTGCAGTAAATCGTAACTGTGAGCATAATCGCTTTCAGGGAGCTCTGTGAGTTATGGTGATAGGGAGAATATAAAGTTGGCTTGGGAGCAGGCGCCGTGGCTCACATCTGTAATCCCAGCACTTTGAGAGGTTGAGGTGGGTGGATCACCTGACGTCAGGTGCTCAAGACCAGCCTGGCCAACATGGTGAAACCCCATCTCTTCTAAAAATACAAAAAATTAGCTCAGTGTGGTGGCAGGTGCCTGTAATCCCAGCTACTTGGGAGGCTGAAGCAGGAGAATTGCTTAAACCCAGAAGGTGGAAGTTTCAGTGAGCCAACATTGCACCATTGCACTCCAGCATGGGCAACAGGGTGAGACTCTGTCTCAAAATAAATAATAAATAAATAAAAATAAAGTTGGCTTGGACACCCCCTCAGTGTGCCACTGGTGTCAGAAGTGAGAAAGCCTTGCATGGACTCCTTGCATAAACTCTGCTGCTCCCAACCTTTGTCACTGGCTCAAAATCTTTGTGGCTGGCGCTGCTGGGTACCAGGAATGCAGAGGCGAAAGTCCAGGGTACAAGATGGACGTGTCCACACACAGAGAGGCCCAGAGACAGGCGGTGCAGCTCGGCTTGGGGAGGGTCCTGCATTCTCGCCTGGGAGTGGCTGAAGCAGGGGCTGCTGAACAGACCGTTCTGCAGGGCTGGTGGCGGGGAGCAAAGTGCCCAGCAGCCCCACATCCTGACGAGAGACAGCTGCTGCCCTCCTGAAGGAACAGCAAGCCTCAGGAAGAGAAAGAAACTTCATTTCTTTACGAAAGGTGAAAAGAGATCTTAAAACTAAAGCTACTTTCTAGGGCTGGAGAATGATGAAAGTGAAAAGGTCTGAAAGCGATTTTATTTACCAAGAATGACTAAAAGCACATGCACCAGCCTTCTGAAAGCTGGGGATCCTCAACGGTCTGCCCGACACACCCCTTGTGAACGTGGATCCCCGCAGGTCTGCCCGAGACACCACTTGTGAACGTGGATCCCCGCAGGTCTGCCGGACACACCACTTGTGAATGTGGATTCCCGTAGGTCTGCCCGAGACACCACTTGTGAACGTGGATCCCCGCAGGTCTGCCGGACACACCACTTGTGAATGTGGATCCCCGTAGGTCTGCTGGACACACCCCTTGTGAATGTGGATCCCCGTAGGTCCGTGGGTCTGCTGGACATACCACTTGTGAATGTGGATCCCCGTAGGTCTGTTGGACACACACACTACTTGTGAACGTGGATCCCTGTAGGTCTGCCGGACACACCACTTGTGAACGTGGATCCCCGTAGGTCTGCCGGACACACCACTTGTGAATGTGGATCCCCGTAGGTCCGTTGGACACACCACTTGTGAACATGGAGGTGCTTATGTGGAACAAGCGGCCAGTGCTGTGCTGTGGAGCCTGAAGACTCCTGAAGACACACCAGGCGGCACCACCCTGCTATGAGAAGGTGGGCCTTCCAGGGAGGGGCACTGGAAGGATGAGGAAGGCGGGTCGAGGCATTCCAGCACGAGGAACAGCATGTGTGAAGCCACCAGGTTACAGAGTGACTTTGGGAGCTGGTGAATAACCTGATGGCTGAGGCATGACAATCCTTCCTTCCTTCCTTCCTTTCATCAACATTTACCGAGCACTTCCTATGGGCCAGGCACTGGGAAACAGGACAGCAAGAGCAGGCCAACCTGTGACGTGCAACATCTGACTGAATGACTGGAGGATTCACCGAAGCATGAGGAAGGCAGAGAACACAGAAACACAGAGCACTTGCTCTGTGCTGTGGAATTATGCAAGTGAATGAGGCTGATCAACTTTCCCATCATCAAGCCACCCAGAAGCAGGACACTCACTTTCCCAGTTCTATTCATGGGCCACAGGTGCTATGAGCAGATGTACCAGGGCGCTGTCTCCAATCTGTGACCGGGAGCAGCGGTGCTGACCCAGCTTCCCTCCACCAGGTGCTGCTGTTGTGGAGATGCACACTGCACCAGGGCACGGAGTACCCCCACTCCTTCTTGGCTATCACTACTCTCCCCTCCCACAGGACCCGTTCAGCAGTTGTTTGACATCAGAGAAGGCTGGGGTTTTCTTACAAACACACTTGATTTTTTAAAGAGTTATTACATCCACACATGGTTTAAAAATCAAATTACGGAAGGTATACAGTTAAAACCAGTTGTTCAAAACAAAAGCAGCCTTTCAGGATGATTCCCTCAAGGACAAGAGGGAACAAAGGGCAATACCCTTATCAGTGCCAGAAAAAACCTTCCTTCACAGCCTGGAGTCTGCCCTATGTGTGTCCTGGTTGATTTTAACCTATATCTTAACACTTTCATCTTTCTTACAAATATGAAATCTCTTTCCCTTCTCTAATATTATTTGGTATTCCAAAATAAGGAAGTGTCATGGCTAAAACTAAATCAAAGGTAATTCTGACTCTGCACAACTCAGCCTCCACCTGACCTTGGAACCACAGGATCAGACCAAGTTTTCGTTTTTTGGACATTTGTTTACTTGTTAACTGAGATACAATTTATGTACAGTGAAATGCTCAGGTCTGGCATATATCATCTGATCCATTTTGATGAAATTCATAAGAAAGCAAAGAATTAGACCATGGTTTTTGTTTTAAAAGAGATCTGAGATTTCAACCGAAGGGAGTTAGTTGAAAATTTTAATGCCCTTCCTTGGAGGAAGTTAAATGAGGACCTGTCATGGGACGCCACAGATTACCTTGAAGATAGTACTTGGTCTTGTCAGAGGTTCCGACTTTCCGACTGAAGTGCTGATCATTGGGCTTCACCTGGCATATGTTGGCTCCGGAGCACGCCGGGTTTCTGGAGCTCGTGATGGAGGAAAGCTGGATCTCATACAGGTAGTTGTCCCCATTGGTCCTCATGTCCCCAGAGGCTCTGAACAGCCTGAAGAGACAGAAAAGACCACAGTGACATGGAAGTCCTTCAAGAAGGCATTCATTACATAAGCCCACAGTCCTCAGAATCACTGCAGGGCCCCAGGATGCTTCCTGTCCTAAGCTATGGCAGCACATCTGTGACCCCACAGAGATTCTGAGGACACCAGCTTCCATCTCAAGAGGCTTTCTCCACAACCAGTTTTGCCCTCTGAGTGCTAATCCACCTTCCTCAGGTACCCTGTCCAGCACCGCGCCCAGCACCGCATGGCCCTCACCCTGCCCGTGCACAGGCAGAAGACATGGCCAGGCACCTGGGCCACCGGCCCCCGAGAGCAGCCCCAGTAGCACTGCTGAGAAATCTGTTTTCTACAAACTGGCAATCCCAGAAGATCCCTGCTCAAACATGTCAGAAGGCTTCTGCTTCAACCCAGGAGCTTATCATGAAGTGAGGGAGAAGGGGAGGGGATTTATTTTTACACTCACAAGAATTCACCATCTTTGGTGTTAAAATTTAATAGTTGAGTAATGCTTTTCCTCAGTTTAAGAAAAAGATGACGACAATTCCAGCAACAGTAACTAAAACACACAGACCTATTTATCCTGGAGTGCTCCCCAATAGGGAAAGAGCTGCATTGCTGGTTTAATTTTGAATACATTTCACAGCTCAAAAGGAAAACGTTTTACTTACTTAAAATAAATGTCTCCGAGGCTGAAGCTCTTGCCATTTATAGGGTTGGTGATGGTCCCATTCACCATCTGTACCTCCTGAGGCTTCACGGCGCAGGCAGCCCGGGAGTCCCAGCTGAAGTGGTAGGTGCAGCTGTCGATGTCGAACCTAGGAGGGGGAAGCGCAGACTACAGTCGTCACAGGGCAGACTGCAAAACAGGGAACACTTGGAACCCTTGAAGCAGCTCGCTGGCTTTCAGTCAAGGTGCACTGAGATTTCGGCTGCGTCCTGAGACCCCCACTCCCCGGGCTGCATGGGCCTAGGCAGGACTTCCCCACTCAACACTGACAGCGGCTCTGAGCTAGGATGGTTATTTTACTCACTTTTCTTCATTGCCACAATGGATAGGGAAGACAACTGTGTCAGTAATGTGACAAAGCAGGCAAACACTCGTATCAATTTTTTAAAATTTGTAAACCATGTAACATTTAAAACCTGGAAACATTTGCTCCTAGATTTTTGGTTTTTTGTTTTATAAGCTTCTCAGACTCACACACTGATAAATCCTTTGGCAATTTCTAAGTCTCCCCTTTTCCAAACTGAGCGTCTGGAAGGAATCAGTTTTGTTCACAGACAGCAGCTCACATGCACCCTCTGCTGGCTAAGCTCTCCCTGGCGCCAGCTGCAATGCTGCCTGGAAAACCTGAATACAATCCAAGCACATCCTAGGTCCAGAGGCAGGTCTCACCTGCTTGAAGGTCCCAGGCAGGCTGCCTGAACACCTTGAGTGGGACAAATCAACGCCCCTTTGTTTCTACTATGACAAAGATGAAGGCCAGTTAAATATTGCTCAGCCAGTGCTAAACCTAGTTCAAGAGGCAAGCTAGGCCAGAGAAGTTGCACTGGTCTTGTAACACTGTCTCAGCACTATATCTGGGATCTTCCCTGCCTGCAGCAGCCCCGCCCAATACGGCACAATCAGCCACTGTAGCCCCGAGCTCCTAAGACTCAGTCAAAACCTGCACGTGAAAACCCCAAGGAGGAACCTCCCCAGTGTGCTCGCTGCACTGTGTCCCCAGTCTCCTGACCTCTGTGCCCCCAGTCTGTGCCTCCCACTCTGTACCCCCAGTCTTCTGACCTCTTGAATGTAGGTCTGCCCACCGTCTTTGTACAGGTCAATTCTATCACGGAGGATGCGGTCTTATTTCCACCACATGGATAACCTTTGGAGTACGTGACAACAACTTTGTCACCTGAAACACACAATTGAAATGACGTTATTTCTAGCGCATTATAAAAAGCCTCAACCAGGTGTGCTGGCTCACGCCTGCTAATTCCAGCACTTTGGGAGGCTGAGGTGTGTGGATCACTTGAGGTCATGAGTTTGAGACCAGCCTGACCAATATGGTAAAACCCCATCTCTACTAAAAATACAAAAATTAGTCGGGTGCAGTGGCAGGCACCTATAATCCCAGCTACTTGAGAGGCTGAGGCAGGAGAATGGCTTGAACCCGGGAGGCGAAGATTGCAGTGAGCTGAGATCGTGCCATTGCACTCCAGCCTGGGCAACAAGAGCAAAACTCCATCTCAAAACAAACAAACAAAGCCTCAATGTTAGAAGTCAAAATCTGGTTTAAAGGCCAGGAAAAAATAAATTTTTGGCTCCCTACAGGTTTATCCACCTCTTCTGGCATTACCATGATCAGACCTGGCCTAACGCACCATTGCCACAGCCCAAGACCTGGTGTCAAACCCAAACCCTCCTACTCCCGCACTTTGTGACCCTCGGTTGCTGAGCTTCTGAGTTTCAAGGGCCTTACCTACAGAACAGGACACTGTCCAAAGTGGGCAGGTTTCGGGCATGTATAGAAATTGCCTGATAAACTCATGTGAAGAGCGGGACCTCGGGTAATGGCAGCCTTCCCTATTGCTCCAATTGTGTAAAATTTCTGTATCGTATTAGGTGCTTTCCTGACAGGTACCCTCATGTGAGTCTCCCAGTAACAACAGGGCAGGAACTGGAAAAAGTGAAAAGGCAGAACAGACCATCCGTGGTTTTCTAGGGTCTTCTGGCTTTAAGTTGAGCACTGTCTGCTTTTAAAAGTGACCCATTAAAAAAAAAAGAAACCTAAGCCCTCGAATCTGCAGGATCTGAGAAAAAAGTGAGTACACGTTTTAAGCTGCAGGTATCACTGGGGCAGCGTGGTCACCAAGTTCTGACTCTCAAGCCACCACCAAGAGGCTGCTCGTGGCTGCCCAGCGGGCTATTCTGGGGACGGTCCAGGCCCAGCCTGGCTGCATGGACAGACCATGATTCCAAGGCATGCATGGCGCAGGGTGTCTGGGGGAGCCTGTGCCTTCCACCCCGACCACACACACACACACACACACACACACATCCTTCCAGGCAGGGGCATGCGGTGGAGGCAAAATGGGTACAGCGCCCACTTCCCAAGTCTTTTCCACAGGACACAGGCCGCGGTACTGGGGGCTGCGGGACGGTGACGTGAGAGATGGGACCCTAGGCTCTCCGCCCTGCCCCAAATTCAAAGCTGCTTCAGCTGAATTTGTTTTAAATATTGGGCTTCTCCGTAAAATTTTGGAAGAAAGAGTTACACTGTTTTAAGGAAAATTTTTAAAACTTCTAGCATATGGGATCAAACAAATGAAGACTTTAATAGTGTAGACAGCCCACAGAGATTGGGCAGGAGGCTCAACCTCCCCACCCGAGGGGCCCAGACTGTGCAATGGATGACACCACCGCCAAGAAGTCAGGTGATCTAGTTCCATGTCACTCCCTGTGTTCACTATTCTCTTGCACCTTTTGCCTCAAACTTGTAGTGAGGCCTTAAGTGTTTTAGTTGTTTCAGTTGGCTGAAATTGGGAAAGACTAGTCAAATATGCATATATACTGCGAGATTACTGGGGAAAGAGCGGCCCTCCC